AAAAAAAAAAAAAAAAAAAAAAGCTTCACTATTATTGTCCCTTTTATAGGTGGGGAACAGACTGAGTTACACAACCACCTACTAACAAAATGAGTATCCAAGTCTTCTGAGTCCTAGCCTTACTATGGCTTTTCCCTTACAACCTCTTGGCCATCTGAATACTGCATGGGAACATCAGAAAAATGTAACAGTTATCAGTGGACATCAACTGGGACCGAAACATTTTTTCATCACTTATTCCCATCCATCACTATGGGAAGTTTTGGCTAATTAAAGCCAAAACATCTCTTGTCCTTCAAGCCACACTATATGCTCTGACAACTTAAAGTTACTTAGCAATTAACTTTCATTTAAAGGAATTTTTAATTGGGATTCTCAGAAAAGATTTAAACACAGGTCTGATTCCACCTTGTCTCAGATGCCTTCATTCATCCCAGGGATAATTAGCCATTCAGAGTTGGGTTGTAAAAAGGAAGAACACTTACAACTTATTTACCACTTCCTTCAAGTCATTTGTCTGCACCTCTCGGGTCATGATTTCCATCATCTTCTTCCGGATTTGGCGGACCTGTTGGTGCTGAGCATAAGAGGTCTTCCGTATCTGATTGTTCCTTTTTTTAGTAAAACCAACACAAAACAAACGAAGTAAATAACCATCGGTAGTCTTGACGTCAACATGAGCTTCGATCATGGTCTAGACAGAAAGAGATAGTATCACATATAACAGATTTTAATGTTACCAAAAAATATTTTTTGACACAATCCTATTATTTAGTTAGGGGTTTTTTGGAGTCAGGGTGTCACTATGTGGCCCACACTGGTCTCAAACTCCCAATGATCCTCCTGCCTCAGCCTCCCAACCACTAGGATTACAGGTGTGCACAACCACACCTGGTTTAGATACAGTCCTATTATGTAGTTCAGGATGGCCTCAAACTAGCAACAATGATTAGAATAGGCATGCACCACCATGCCTAGCTTAATATCAATACTCCTTATATATCTAGTTTACAGAACTGCATTGAAATGAATAACCCCCCATTCTCACTACCCCTCATATTCAGCATAGAAACACCCAGTCCTCTCAGCTGTATCCACAACCACATCTTTTTATGTACAGGGGACATAAGCTGTTAGTAGCTACTCCTCACCAGAACCAGGCAAGACAAAAGGAAATAGGTACTAAGGCTGGATCATGGGACACTACCCTATGAGCATCCACACTTATGATTTCATCTTAACAAAAAGTACTGTGAACAGTTAAATACTGCTATATCATTAAATGTATATATTTTTTTGGTACCGGGGATCTAACTCGGATCCTTCCGCTTGCGCAGCAGGTGGCGAAACCACTGAGCTAAATTCCCGGCCCTAAATGTATATTTTTAAAAACTCCTTTACAAGTATTTCTACACTGAGGCCATGCTAAGAATTCAAAATTTAATTTCACAGCTACGATATAATTAAAATCCATAATTGATGGGTTGCCTCAATTTAAAAGAACCCATCTTAAGGCTAAAAACAAACCTGTCTTCCTTTGATTTTGCAAATTATATCCCGGAGTTTAAAAAAATCAACATATCAACCAAGCACACGCCTGTAACCCCAGCATTCGGGTGGCTGAAGCAGGAAGACTGCCAAAAGTTCAAGGAATGATTGAACTATACAGCAAGACCATATCTTAAAAAACAAAACGAAACAAAGAACATATCCTATCCCCAGCACCATAAAAAGAGAAAATACATTTCACTGCAATTATAACCAAATACTTTCAAGAATGCAACCGTAAAACCTCAGAGGAATGTCAGGAATAAATGTAACGGTATAATCACTTTGTATCATTTGGGACCGAAACATTTTGTCATCATTCATTCCCACATAAAAAAAATAACACCAAGAGGTGATTACAAGGACACATAGGAATTGATGTAATTATTTTCCAAAATGATAGTTTACTGTTTTGCATCAAGCACCATGCCAATCAAGTTAACATGCATTTATTTCATCCTCATAACTGAAGTACTAATTTCCATTTTACACATCAAGAGACAAAGTCTTAGCAAGTTTAAGTTACCTTCCAAGGAGCCATGTTCAACCCCAACAGAGGCTTTGCCACTATTATGCTCTATTACCACAGGTAATACAAAGGCTAGCCTGAGCAAGCAAGGCCTTGATTTTCAGGGAAGGGGGGAGGAGGGAGAGGGAGAGAAAGGAAGCAAGCCCAAGCCTACCCTTTCACCATAAATTCACTGGATTTTGAGATCCCAAGATATTCTGAAGACAGGCAAAACTGCCTTGTTCACCTACCTCCAACAGGCCAAAAACACCCAATAAAAATCCTGGCTTCGATTTAAGCATGTATGTAAACGTTCAACGATGCATACTCAGGAGTGCCAAACCCAGAGTAACCAGAGGACACCAAGAGATCAAGTTCTTAAAATGAAATTCAAATCTCCACTCCAGGATAGGTTCCTTCCACACCATGCCATCGTTGGTCACACACCCCAAACTCTAAGCTCTCCAAGAGGACTTTTGGTCTCACCTGCCATTTCTTGACCATGGAACACATTTTGTCACGGGTGAGATCCATACCATGGAAGTTAGTCAGGCAGTTTTTGCCCTGAACATCTTCTGTAATTAGCTTGAATTTTCTAAAGGCAACTTCATCGTTCTGCAGATCAGCAAGG